GGTGGGGCGGGGGGGGGGGGGGGAGAGCACACTCTGTTCTTGCAGAGGACCAGAGTTTGGCTCCCAGCTCTCATGTTGGGCTGTCAGAACCACTGTAACTGTAGTTGCAGGTGATAAAATGCCCCCTCCTGGACTCCGTGACACTTTCACCCACACTGCACACAGCTATACAACAGGTGCATATACAATCTAAAAGTAAAAATAAATCTTTTTCCTATTTATTTATTTGAGACAGGGCTTGAGGCCGTGGCTGTCCTGGGACACACTCTAGGCCAGACTGTCCTTTTTCAGCCTGCCTCTGCCTCCCTCGTGCTGGGATAAAAGGTGTGTACCAATATACCCGTTGCCCACTCCCCTGCCTTTTATTTAAGCTGTTGTTATCTCTGCTAGAGAGCCCTGCCAGCAGGATGGCATAGGAAGCATGGGTGCCAGCTGGGAGCCTCCCTCAGTATGGTGTCGGTGACAGGTTGTTGTGTGTGCTTTCTTAGGAAAACACTATTTTGCAAAGTGTTCTTGGGAAAGCACTAGAATATGTTGTCTTGACCCAGCACAACCAATTGGGTTTCTACTTCAAAAGCATAGTGACCTTGGCTTGGTGTTGAGGACATGAGGGTGCCCCATACTCTTTCCCCAGCACCTGTGGGCTGCTTATGTGTGGTACTGTTGAATGTTGAGCCAGAGGTACCCTCCGCCACACCAAGACAGGGGCTGTAGTTCAGTGGTAGAGTGCTTGCTTGGCCTTTGAGGGGAGGGGAGCAGGTATCTGACACATGTTCAGCTGGCCAGGAGGAGAAACAGAACTTTCTACCAGATACCTGGCCAGGAGGACAAACAGGCATGGATGGCAGTTTTACCAACACAAGAGAATTTCAAGAGATGTGATCAGCATCAATGACATCAGGCCAAGCCCAACACATCACCACACAGCTTCAGGCTGACTTCATCCCCCATAAACATGCTCCATGCCTGCCCTGGTCCTCTAACCTCTGGGTGTTCTGCCACCTCCAGTCAAGGCTCCACCTGCTTTTTGGGGCTCTGAAAAGTCTCAGCAGGCTCTTCATTTCTTTGTCCCAACACACTCTTTGTGCACCCAGAACCATCTCCCACAACTCATGAGTCACTCGTACCTGTCTCTTCCTCCTACCCTGCCCATACAGAACCTGTGTCCATAAAAGAATATTCTGGAATAGTTTCTGACTCTTAAGGAGAATCTCTCAAACCCCACTGTGGTGACCACGAAGCCTCCCTGTCTTCAGCTCTCCCTACAGCCACTACCCTACCCAGGCAAGGGCATCTTGCTGGCTCTGCTTGCCCCTGGCCCACCCCCACACTGTGCATCTCTGCAGCAGACACATGCAGTTAGGGCCTGCTGGCATGCAGTGATGCCCTGGCTTTCGGTGTTCTCCGACAGCATTTAAACAGTAGGGAATCCAGAACACAGCTAGCACCATGCCCAGGACAGTGTCTGGTTAGCCAATAGTTTCGAGGCAACCCGCCCCGCCCTGCACTTGTTAAGGCACACACTTTGGTGGCCTGCTTCACAGCCCCTCACTGAAACTCGCTCCTTCCTGGTCATCACTGAACCTTGCTGATGCTGGAAGTGTAACCCATACAGGCCTGTCAAGGGCTCTGCTGCAGAGCCACACTGCAGCAGCCTCTGGGGTGCTTTTGAGGGTAACACTCCACTCAATCCCAACACACAGAATGGAATGAAAATGAACAACTGGGAAGCAACTCACTGCAGCTAGGCCAAAGACATTCAATTGCATTCTCCACATTTATTTCCATCAGCACCATCCACTTCCACAGAATAGCAGGGGCTAACAAGGTGACTCAGGGTGTGGGGCTTGCCACCGAGCCTGACAGCCTGAGTTGAGTCCCTGGTACCCACATGGTAGAAAGAGAACCAATTACCTACCACACATTTGTCTTCTCAACACCCACACTTGTGCTATGGCATGTTTTCCACATCACCCACACAAATATGTATATTAAAAAAAAAAAAGGAAGAAACAATTCTACTTATTCTACTTGCCCAGGCTAGTGTGCTGTCAGGACTTCAGGTGAAATGAGCATGTCTCAGGAACAGTGGCACCTGACCCACACTACATCTGGCTGCTGCCATGCCCTAGGTGCCAGAAGGCTACCCATCTGGGTCCATACCCAGGAAGAAGCAACCAAAGGCTGACAGGCCCCTTTAGGAACAGTCTTGTGACCCAGCTATAGAAAAGCCCAACAAGAAACTTGAGAGAGCAACATCTCAATCACAGAGATCTCTTAGCTGTTAGTGAGTTTTCTATGACAGCAATCTAGACATGCTGATTAAAAATAAGTTGCTTTGGTTAGCATTTAAAACTTCCATTTAATAAAAGACTTTCACTTTGTATGAGGAATTGAGAATTCATAGAAACTCTGATTTGCAACTCTGATTTGAATTTTAAGTACAGACTTTACTGATCTAAGAGCACAAAACACTGACATTTCAAGATCAAGGTATCTGCTACCATTTGGTACGGGATTGTGGCCTATATATATCTCATTGTGCCCACAGCACTTGGAATGAAGAGTCAAGGGGTGAGGCAGGGTTAGCAAGGGCTGAGGTAAGCTTGCGCAGCAGAGGCAGTGGTGGAAGAGGGCAGCTCCAACAGCAGGGGAGGAGGAAAAGTGCACAGGAGGGAGGGCTGGCTGAGGAGGACAGGAGACAGACTCCCTGTCCCTCTGCGGACCGCCCTGCTTCCCAGACTTGGATGGAAAACTGAGAGGGCAGGGTCAGGGGTGCAGACCTGGAGGCAGAAGGGAAACAGCAGAGCCTGGGAATTCCCTGTCCTCCACTGTCCTCTTCCCAACAAAGAAAGCCTCTCTTCACTATGCCGGGTCCCTGTACCTGAGGAAGAAGCCTACTTGGAGCAAAATCGTTGAAAAGCAAGAGGAACGCAAAGAAGAGCTGCATTCGACCGTTCACAACGACAGAATTTATAGGCAGAAATGTAGCACTTATTTCTGTTCAGTTGTTCTTTGCGGCAGACCTTATACTTTCTACGTAGGACAAGTACTCGGCAATAATGACTTCCTCATCCTCCAGAGTGGAGTCCAGGTAGTCCTCCTCGTGCTCCGGGATGTCCTCCAGGATCTCATTCACGGCCTCTGTCTCCATGTCTTCATCTGTTGAGGCACTAGAGGTCCCTGTGTGAAAATGCCACAGAGATAAGAGGCCACAAGAGGAGAGGCGGCCCTGACTGTGCCTTTGGTACCACCCTGTCCTGGCAGAACTTGAGGGATACCTCCTCAGGTTAGCCTTTGCCTTAGGTGCCCAGCTGCCATTAGCTCAAACTTGGCAGAATGCAGCCATCAGTGAGGCATCCAGACCTGGGACCTACCTGCAGAGTCAGACGGGGATGTGGATGGAGTGGAGGAGGAGTCCTCTCCTGACAACTGCAGGTCGGGAGGAAGGCTTCCTCCATGGTGCGCAAGCGTCTGAGCGGCCAACTGGACATTGCCTCCAAACACCCTTAGTGCGGCTTCAGCCACCACTGTGTCAAAACCCATGTACACCAGCTAGGAGAGATGGATCACAGGTCAGGACTGGGACCACAGGCCCAGCTCACACTGCCATGTGGACCCCACATCCATGCTCTTGTCACCTTGCTGCCTTGGTGCTGAAAGCAAGTGTCGTGAAAACCTGAGTACCATAAGTAAAGTAGTCACAATATGTGGGACATGCTAAAGTGTGGGTGAAGTCTCATGAGGTTTCATGGAACAGTGACAACCTCTTAGGTCACAGGCAGAGAAACAGGACTGATGTGAACAGTGGAACAGGCGAAGGGTAACTGACAAATGAGAGTGAAGGGTCCACCCTTCTTGCTGCTTCCAGGGGACAGAATCCCATTATGCAGTCCTGGCCTGGAACTCACTCTGTAGGCCAGGCTGGCCTTGAACTCAAAGATCACTGCCTCCCCTCCAGGTGCTGGGACTAAAGGTGTGCCCCACATGCCCAGCCCCTTTCCCTTCCACAGAAGCACCCCTCTCTCAGAGCCCTCTACCCACACCCCCCCACTCCATATATCTGAGGTCCTCCCAGGGACGGCAGGCCGTGCTTAAAGCCTGGAAGCACACATATCATCCTGTCAGCATCCTACTCATCCCAGCCAGCACTGCCCACGGTAAGAGGCAACGCCTGTCACTCACTTGGTCGATGCTTTCCTGGGAAGGGCTTGCTTGTCGGCTGTTGTTTTCAGGGTCTGAATCTTGTAACCACCACATGTGGGGGTTGCTGAGGAGAATCTGAAAGCACAAGGACATCCTTTATTCACCCTAACTACCAGCCATGCAGACCACCATCTCTCACATGCAGGCACAGCCCATTCCTGTCTACTGAGGGGACAAATGAGTGCAGGATGTCACAGCGGGCTGTGCAGAGTATCTTGAAGCAGGAAAGGGGGCTTTTGGCTGGCCAGTGAGTCCAGGGATCCTGTTTCTACCTTCCCAGTACTAGCATGTGCCCACCACACCTGGCATTTTCACTTGGGCTCTGGGGAGCAAACTCAGGCCTCATGTGTGTAAGGTAAGTACTGTGTAACTGACATCTCCCCAACTGCATGACCTACTTAAACTGTTGAATTCCACTGGTTTCTTCAGATAGCTAGACTTTCTGATGCTTTTCATATTTGTCTAATACAAAACCCCAAGCTCCATATTCAAATTACATTCACATTTCAAATATATGTGAACTGGGTATGGTGGTGCATATCTTTAACCCCAGCACTCAGAGGCAGAGGCAGGCAGATCTCTGAGTTTTGATGCCAGCCTGGTCTACATAGCAAGTTCCAGGAAACTAGGGTTGCACAGTGAGACCCTGTCTCAAAAAAATAGACACACACACATACACACAACACACACACACACACACACACACACACACACACACACACACACACAGAAAAAAAGAAAAACACACACACACACACAGACACACAGAAAGAAAGAAAAAGTGGGGCTTTCCGAAGCAGAGGATAGGGAAAAAGATGGGTGCTGTTGCCTGTATCACACAGTGACCTCCCTGCCTGTCTGCCCAGACCCATCATTAGCTCTACAGTCCCAGTCCAAGAGCTCCAGGCCAACAAACTGTCCCTCTCCCCAAAGGGCAGAGCCCCAGAACCAGCTCCTGTCCTGCCCCTGTCATCCACCTCTGTATCACAGACCTGTAGCACCTGAGGGCAGCACCTAAGAGCAGCACCCAAGGACTGTGTCTGAGCTGTAGCACAGAGCTTACTGTACCTCTTGACCAAGACAGGACAGGGTACTACTTCTCTGTTACTTTGGGGATTTCTCTAAAAAGCCCTTTTGCCAAGAGGTAGCACAAAAAATAAAAACAGATATAAAAACAAAGTTTAGCCAGGTAGTGGTGGCGCACGCCTTTAATCCCAGCACTCGGGAGGCAGAGGCAGGTGGATCTCTTTAAGTTCCGAGAGAGCCTGGTCTACAGAGTGAGTACCAGGACAGCCAGAACTACACAGAGAAACCCTGTCTCAAAAATCCAAAACAAAAAACAAAAAACCCAGACATAAAATCAGTTCACTCAAAAATTTACACTGAAATGTGACCAATCCCTTCGAGTTAGACAGCACAGAGTTAGACTCTAGTCAAATGAAACTCCAGGCCAGGTGCCTAGGGTTCTGCTGGAGGACAGCAGAGCTGACTGCACTCACAGCCTCATCCACACAGACTTAGAAGGAAAGTGCTCAAGAAGACTGTGGAAGTAGAGGCAGCCTAGAGGCAGGCCAGCGGGGTGCAGCCAGCTGCTCAGGGAAGTCTGGAAGCATTCATTACCGTCAGGGCGTCGTCCACGTTGCCTCTGGCCTGGTGAAGGGCCTGTTTGGCCGCATGTGTGGAGTAGCCCATTCCTCTCAAAGTGTTGATACTTTCCAGGCGGCGTTTCCTCTTCTCCTTCTCCTCCTTCTTTATTTGAGCCAATTCCTTTAGGAAAACAAGTCCCTCTGAGTTAGGGATGGAGGTGGAGCAGGAATCTGGGGTTCTGCAGGGTATCTCAAGGTTTCAGAGCTAGTGAACTACCAGACAAGGGACCTCTACCTATCCCTGCCGAGAAGTGGCAAGAGGCCCAGGGACAGGGTTAGGGTTGAGCTCTGAGGTCAGGAGTGCAAACACAAAATCAGCCCAGCATCTCATGAAGCCAGCACCCAGGTTCTTAGGTGCTGAGGTGTTGGAGGTCCAATGTCATGGCGGAAGAGCTTTCTGCCCGGTGGAAGGTCACCTACCTGGGCATTCATATCAAGGGACTGGGAACATCACTTAGGGTAGAGTGGTTGCCTAGCATTACACTCTGGTTCTATCCCTAACATCAGTACAAAGAAAGGCTTATTCTATTTAGTTCTGTGACAAACTCAGAGCTGTAGGAATTAAGGCAGCAGCTCCCGCCTCACACTTTAAGCTCCCACAGGAGTGCATCTTCTGTGGCACACCAAGCATGTCTTCCCAACATCGCCTGCCTCACTAGCTCCCAGATGGGATCTGAAAGGTCTCAGCCCACAGCAGCCTCAGTGAGGCATTCAAGGGCAGCTGGCTCATCAGCAAGAAGCACAAGGACTGGTAGGGATTCAGGGTGTGATCAGAGGACACAGAGGGGAGGGACAGAGACAAAAACCAGGTCCTTGGCAACACGAGTGACCACCAACTCACCTAACGTATCACTTGTAATGCAAGGTTTTACTCCTTTGGCTTTTTTTGTTTTTTTGTTTGTTCAAGACAGGGTTTCTCTGTGGCTTTGGAGGCTGTCCTGGAACTAGCTCTCGTAGACCTTGAACTCAGAGAGATCTGCCTGCTTCTGCCCTTCTGAGTGCTGGGACTAAAGGCGTGCACCACCTTTGGGTTTTTTGACCTTTTTGGCTTCTTTAGGGGCCTACCACCCAGCTCCCAAATAATTCACACATGGAGGCTTATTCTTAGTTAGGAATGTCTGGCCTTAGCTTGGCTTGTTTCTAGCCAGCTTTGCTTATCTTAAATTATCCTGTTTACCTTTTTTTCTCTGAACTTTTTTATCGTTCTTGTTTCTGTATCTTACTTTTCTTCTTACTCTGTGGCTGGCTGGCCGGCCAACCCCTGATGTCCTCCTCCCCTGCTTCTCAGGTTGCTCTTTCCTCTCTCCTATTTATTCTCTCTGCCTGCCAGCCCTGCCTGTCCTTGCTCCTGCCTCGATATTGGTCATTCAGAAACTTATTAGGAACAACAGGTGTTTTAGATAGACACAGTTACACAGCTTCACAGAGGTAAACAAATGCAGTATAAACAAGTCACACACCTTAAAATAATATTCTATCATAATCACTCTCTCCAGGGCTTTTTCTCTGAAGATCACAACTTAATTCAGAAGTGCATATATGTATACACGCTCATTTATATTTGTGGTGCTAGGGCCCAGTGTTTTATGTAACCCAACAATTCTGCAATATTTTTTATTAAATCTTAGTTTAGTGTCTGTGTGTTGTGCATGTGTGAACAACCTAGAGAAGTCAGTTCTCTCCTAGCACATGGGCCCAGAGAATAAAACTTAGATCATCGGGCTTGACAGCAAGCTTACACTGATGCTGAGTCATCTCACTGTCCTTTCAAAGGCAGTCTCTGAACCACAGACACCTCACTGTAAATGAGAACCACCTTTGCCAGTGGATCACTAGAGCCGTGTGTACAACTGAATCATGTCCCACTTGAGAATGACTTATGAACTACAAAACATTACACCGTATTTTCAGAGAACTCACTTGAAAACAGGGGCTTTCCACTGAGCTGTTGGTGGTGGAGCAGTAGGAAGGTGGGAAGGCTGTACTGAACTAGACAGTGTACAGCGCCAGCTTCGCCTGACCTGTCCCATAAACCATGACTAAAACAACAGCTGAGGGCTGACTACTGTGCAAGGAGCCATTTGAACAGCCCTGCTGACAGGTCATTACACAACTAACCAAACCATGGGTTCACTCCCACAGTGACTGCTGTCTTCTGTGGCCCATGGGCTGCTGTGCTTCAGGGTCACCCTGGGAAACAGGATCCACACAACAAGAGTGTCTGGCTGGGAAGCCCTAGGAGACTCTGCTAGCTTTGAGAGAAGACTGACAGCTATCACCAGTTCTCTCTGGACCTCAGGCCCTCTGCTGTACAACTAACTGGGTATGACAAGGCCCCTCCCTTCCAACTCTAGAATTCTAAAGCTTTGTTTTGGGAGCTTGTTATAGATGACTGCAGCTTCTAAGACCTTGTTTCCATGATCTGACATGTTCCCAGGCAAGAAGGCAATCCTAAACTATCACAGTGGCCTCACAGGCTGTGTATAGTCACCTTTGAATAACTTCCAGAAATACAATATGGTATCACACAGGATCCTGAGGGAAGACTGCTGGGTTCACCTGCCACTGTGACAAGAAGCTGCCCTGCTTCAAAACTGATGTGATTAAGACAACCTAGCGGGGATGCAGCCTGTTGGTAGATGCTTGCTTGCCAGCAGTTCAAGATTACCCTTGGCTTCTGGCACTCTCTCTCTCTCTGGTCTTTTCCTAGCCAGTTCAGAAAAGAAGTTGCACTGTTTTTGTTTCTTAACCTTTTCAAAGGGTCCAAGTCTCATGGGTGCTGAAGTGAAAACTTACCTCTCTGCGGTTGGAAATATGTGTGGCTGCATGGTCCACGTTCCCATCACAAGCCCGCAGGCCAAGCCGGGCTTCCTGGGCGGTGAACCCCAACTGCAGCAAGTTGTGAACTTTTGATGGATCGATGTACAGCTCTTTAAAGAGCTGGCGCGCCTACAAACAGGAAGCCACAGAAGACTCATGCAACAGTAGTGACATCAAAGCTAAGCAAGACTGAAACCCTGAAATCAGGCTACCAATGTGAGTTACTGTGTGTGAGACTCTGACGAAGTGAGCTTGTCTAACCTATCTACTACCAGGAATGAAAACAGACAACTCTAGCTCTGCCTGCATAACCAATCCTCAATATACTCTCAGGAGGCAGGCTGAGTGTTGTAGAAGTGCCAGAGCGACTGTAATATGGTTCTTGAATTTAGCTCGCCGTGGTGGTGCATGCCTGTAATCCCAGCAATCAGGAGGTAAAGGCCATCTGGACTGAGAGCAAGACCCTCTCTCATAACAAAGAGGAAAGGAAATCCATGAATCTGAGCTGCACATAGCACTTATCACTCTCCCTTGTAGCTGAGATGGTTGGGTGGTCTCCGTGTCAACTGCACACAGTCTCTTCTTCATGTAAGAGTCTGCTCTGACTCCCTAGCCCTCTCACCTCAAGATAGTAGATAGCAGGGCAGAAACTGTACCCAATTAAATCCACTGTCATTTTGAAGTGTCCTTAGTGCAGCACCTTGCCTGAAGCCACACAGACACAAGTGTTCATGCTGTCCATGAGGAGAGGATGGAGGAGGTCAGCCTGAGCATGAGGCCCAGTGGCGCAGATAAGGGCAGCCCCAGCAGCCTTTCTTACCTTGTTGAGATACTCCCGAGCTTCCTCTCCATTTCCACTGTGATAGTTTCGAATCCCCTGAAGCAAGTAGAGTCTTAAAAACAGTACCTTCTCTTTCCCACAATTTCCCTGAAGTTATCGGGAGAAAAAGAATAAGCTGTGTTACTTCCACCTGAAGGGCAGTACTCTCATGGCTATAATGGTCCACCTCTCCACAAGGAGCCAAGTGGCAGCACTAGAATGTCCAGGGCATCATGACTGCCATTGGGAACATTCCCAACCAGTGCCTCGTCCACATGGAAGGAACCAGTCAGAACACCTGTCTCCACCATTACAAGCCATGAATAAGTCATTGGTTCTCTCCTGGTCAGTGAATGACAGTAGGGCTCTGTAATTAGTAAGCTGACTGTAAGAGCCACCACAGAAGCAGCAAGCCTAGGCTGCACAAGTGGCTCATCCCTGTAATCCCAGCACTCTGGGAGCTGAAGCAAGAAGACTAGGAGTTCTGGGACAGCCTGGGCTACATAAGACTGTCTCAAACCAAAATAATAAAATAAACAACAGCCAGACTCATGAAACACTTAATACCTGCTAAAGTCTTGGTTTACAAATAGGTATTTTACACTGCTGCCCAGATGAATCACCTCTGGTAGCAATTTCCACATCTGTGCCCATAAGTGGGTTCAAAAAACCAATCACAGTTACATACTTTTATGTGGACCAGTCTCTGGTGATTCTCTCCATAACAGTTTTTAAAGCATTTCTGGGCCAAGTTCAGCTTCTTCTCTGCATCATCGAGGCATTCCAGTTGTTCCAGGCGGAAGTAGCACCACACGATATCCAGCTGGAGAACCGCGTAGTTGTCCACAGTGTCCAGAAGCTCCTTGCACTCACTGCAAGAGAAGGAACCCATCAATGAAAAGCCCTTCGGCCCTTTTGGGGTCCCCAGAAAGCTTTTCAGCTCTTGCTCCATTTCTAGAATTAACCAATGGTACCTTTATGTACCTATATGAATCCTTTGAATATATAAAGAGAAATTAGGGTTCTCAATAGCAGCATTGTGGCATCTGGCCCAGGGACATAGTGACTTCCTATCCTGGCTGTGAATTACAATTACCAAGACACAGGAGTCTTTTTCTTTGGGGATACTGATGCTGAGGATACAATTAGGGCAACAGTCACAAGGTTCTCCAACCCAGAAGCTGGAGTCCTATCACTAAAACTTCCCTGGGAGAGTCTAACATGCAGGAAGGTTGACACATGACTTTAAAGACACCCCAACCCCCAACTTCCTGAAAATGCCTCAGCTGATGACAGCTATGACAACAGTCATGCCCAGGGACTTTCTTGTTGGGGAAAGCAGTCTAGAAAACACCAGGCCACTGCCATGAACTATTTATTTGTACTTTAAGTTGTATTAATACTCAATGCATAGGGGCTGCTGATTTCTTCATTTTGCCAGGCTTTTTAGGTTCTTCACATGACAGAATAAATCCTGTCCTGCTGCTCCATCCTGGCTGAAAGCAAAGCTCTCACATTTAGTTTCAAGTAGGAAAAGAAGATTATGGTAAAACTCAGTGGTAAAGCATCTTCTCAGCATGCACAAAACCCTGGCTGATTCCCAGCACCACACATGCATGCATGCATGCACAAAAAAATAAAGAAAAAAAAAAGAAGAAACTATACTTGGCATACTAGCCACTGTACATAAGATGAATAAAAAGTCAAGAAGAAGATGGAATGCTCCTGCCACAGCTGGCTTCCTTCATGAAGAGAAATCACACAAGGACACAGATAGGTTGACTAGAAGGAACAGCTCCCCAGAGGAAAGAAGCAACTGGACTTCCCCAGGCGCCATGTATAACAGCTTGGGCATAAGCCCTAGAACTGATGAAACCTTTATAGGTGGCACCTGGTAGAAGGTTTTATGTCATTGTGAGGTGTCCTTGAAGGGAACTGTGAGAGGTCGGTCTTTCTCTGAGATGAACAGTTCAGTTCCTCAGCCACACACTTGCACCATAAAGCAGTAGAGACAGAGGGACATGGAAAAGCAATGGGCCACTGGTTACAGGCTAAACCTCTAACACCGTGAGCCAGTCAACTTTGCTCTTTATATGTTGATCACCTTGTGCACTCATGCCCATAAAGGAAACATGACTATATATATTTTAAAGGCACTAATAGTATTTATTACACCTGCTACTTAACGATACGTTGGTATATCATGAACTGATGACTTGATTGTTTTTAATGAGGGATCTGAGATCTGAAAGTCATTTAAGCAATTTGTCCAGGGAGAAAAGGTTGAAAAGGCTCACAAAGAAGAATCAATACCAACCACTTCTTGATACCCACTGAAGCCAAACTATGTGCCTATATAAGTTCCCCACAGCAGTCTTTCCCTCCACACATATTTGAAATCTTTTCTACTAACAAGGTAGGAACAACTATACACAGAAGTGAAAACTTTTCTCAATTTTAGGGACTCAGTTTACAGTCTCCAGCATTTGCATCAAAAGAGAAGAAGCAGATGAAGCAGCAGAGACAGATAAGGCAAGACCCTGAAGCCCCGACCACCTTCTCATTCTTCCCAGCCTTGCCTCATCTCCTTAAACATCTGAAACATACAAAAATCCCTTCTTTGTATAAGTTATCCTGAGGGTTATACATTTAAGATGCAACAGCACTGACCTTTGCAGCAGGAAAATTATCACAAAATTGACACACATAAATGTCATGGAAATTCACCAAACAGAAAGTCCACACTGAGGCTGTTTTCTCTTGACCATTTCCCAAAATCAACTTTATCTATCTCAAGCATCCAACATACCCAGATAACATTCTCTAAGCACCATTTTCACAAATAGGAACTGGGAACCCTGGGAAACTGCAGAGATTATCAGTAGCAGAGCAAAAGGACACCAGGGCCAGCCAAAGATGAAGAATCTAAACAGATGTATAAAGCACATCAGATCAGATGTGTTAAAGCCCATGTTAAAAAAGTGTGTGTGTGTGTGTGTGAGTGTGCGAGTGCGTGGGTCCATCCCCTGAAGACAAGGGCTTGCAGGGTAGCCCAAACTGGCCTATAACTTATGCCTCAACCTCTCAAGTACTGAGATAGGAGGAATTCACTCCTGGCTTCACCAGTTAATACCAATGAATTTATTTTTTTTTAAAAAAGGGGGGGGGGCGCTGGAGAGATGGCTCAGAGGTTGAGAGCACTGGCTGCTCCTCCAGAGGTCCTGAGATCAATTCCCAGCAACCACATGGTGGCTCACAACCATCTATGATGAGATCTGGTGCCCTCTTCTGGTGTGTATGCATGCACTGTATACATAATAAAGCTTAAAAAAAAAAAAAAAAAAAAAAAAAGCAAACCTCAGTTTGGTCACCTTTGAGGAACCAACAAAATCTGAAAACTACAAAATAACACAAAAGGAGCCAGGCATTTGGCTTTCTTCCTGAGAACACTGCACCTCAGCATAAATGACAGCTCATGAGACCACAGAAGAGCAAGAGCGCCAGTCTGCAGTGTGCAGTGCAGTGCAGTTCATCACCATTGCACCGACACCACTTGGAAGAAGAGAGGAGCAGTGTGGTGAACAGCTCTGGTGGCAGCATACTGGGGGGGGGTGCAGAGCCTGTATACTAGGGTCAAAATGAATGGGTGGAGGGGAGGGGTCGGTTAGAAATACAAAGGAGGAGACACCCACAAACTGGTGTGTGCCTTAACTCCTCATTCCTAGCAACTGCTGTGGGGTGAAAATCAGTCTGGAGTTATAGACTGGGCTTCCCCCTTACACTAGTGCCTGCTGAATACAAAAGTACCTACCAGAAATACCTGTCAGCATCCAGAAGGCATGGCAAGGCTATGCCGTACTCTTTTCTCTTCAGAAAAGCTCTGCCCTTCTCATGGTATCCCATAGCTAGCATAAGGGCCTAGGAAAGAATGTGGGATCTTAAAAACAGCTTTCAAACAAAATTAGAAAAGCATTCATAAAACAAATTAAAAATCATATTAGCTCTAATGAAAACAAGGCAAAAAACAATTAACTGTTATAATTAGAGCTTTCTCTCACTGAAGCCCTGAAGCTAGACTCTCAAGTCAATGTGGCTGACGTCACAGAGTAGCATCAACTCCTCCAGGGTATTTTTTGTTGTAGTTGTTTTTACCCATCTGCTGGTCTAGATCTAATTCTAGTTTTCCACAAGACTAGACAGGATGAACATCTAGTAACTATTACAGCCTTTCTAAGGAGTGTACAGGTATGGCAGCATGGACCAACCTGTGAGAACCTGAAGGAGGAGACTGTCAGGTGGAGGCCAGCCTGAGCTAAGTAGCAAGACAGTCCAAACAGTGTGTGATATACCCTATCACACACTCATTTTTGGCTGTGGTTTTGTTTTTGATTTGGGGTCTCTCCCATCCTCCACCTTCACAGGCAGTACCATCACACTTCTGAAATATTTGACAATGCCAGCATTTCCAAGATAACAGTTTTACATTTATTTGTATTTGTGAGAGCGTGCTCACGCTCACATACACATTTGTGCCACAGCATGTGAGTGGAGGTCACAGGACAGCTTTCAGGAGTCTTCTTTCCATGCAGGCTCTTGAGATGGAGCTTATACCTGACAGCAAGCACCTTCACCTGCTAAGCCATCTGGGCCCTCCAAATTCACTTTCTTATTATGGATACAGTGTTCTGCCTGATCTCATTACAGATGGTTGTGAGCCACCATGTGGTTGCTGGGAATTGAACTCAGGACCTCTGGAAGAGTAGCCAGTGCTCTTCACTGCTGAGCCACCAATCAGGCCCCGCATATCCATTTTCAAAAGGTTAGGATAGCTTAGGCTGTGTACTAAATGAGGGTTTGGCTTCCAGCCTCCCCAGTTGACCACCCAGCTCTTAATTCAGATTAATTCAAATAGTGAAGCCTACCCCCAAATTGTCATTTAAATACCAAAAAGATACAAACAAAACCAAAAAACCTCAAATTACCTTGATCCCTAGTCAGAACTCTTCATTCTAAGAATTTTCTGGGACTGACTACATCTGTCTGATCTGTTCTGACAACCCAGCAAGCCTCCCACACCTGTACTTACTTTCCTTTCGGCAGGGGGAATTCTGATGGACCTGCCCGTCTGGTTTGCAATGTCTAAGTAAGGCATCGTTTCCGGATCCACCATCTCCGCTGCAACAAAGCCATAGGAGTCTCATTAACTCATGGTTGAACAGCAGTGACCGTGACAACACTTGAGATGCCATACTGTGGAGCACTCCACGAGAAGCAGGTACGCTCTGTGAGCTGACTTGATGTGTCTGAGGGAGGGGACAAGCCAGAATTCTATGCACCTCTCTCTGCCAGGATCTCCAACCCCCTTTTGGTCCTCTGAATGCGTTTCTCCTTCAGCTCAGCCTCATTCTGCTCCTCTTCCTCCACCTGGGAGCTTTTCCTCACATCCTCTTCAGACTGCTTCAACTCTAGCACCATCGCCTTTACGTTGTGAGTCACTCCTTGTTCTTCAAGGGTTTTCCCTGGGAACAGCATAATTGCCTGTCACACACACTTCCTGGGCAACAGTCCATTTCCTACAGTAAATGGAGTCCTTTTTTATTTATTAATTTATTTTGAGTGTGTGTATGTGAGTGTGAGTGTGTGTGTGAGTGTGTGTGTGTGAGTGTGTGTGTGAGAGTGGGTGTGTGTGTGTGTGTGTGTGAGTGGATGTGTGAGTGTGTGTGTGTGTGTGTGAGTGTGTGAGTGTGTGTGTGTGTGAGAGTGTGTGTGAGGGTGTGTGTGTGTGTGTGTGTGGGTGTGTGTGTGTGTGTGTGTGTGTGAGCGTGAGTGTGTGAGTGTGTGTGTGTGTGAGAGTGTGTGTGAGGGTGTGTGTGTGTGTGTGTGTGGGTGTGTGTGTGTGTGTGTGTGTGTGAGCGTGAGTGTGTGAGTGTGTGTGTGTGTGAGAGTGTGTGTGAGGGTGTGTGTGTGTGTGTGTGTGGGTGTGTGTGTGTGTGTGTGTGTGTGAGCGTGAGTGTGTGAGTGTGTGTGTGTGTGAGAGTGTGTGTGAGGGTGTGTGTGTGTGTGTGTGTGGGTGTGTGTGTGTGTGTGTGTGTGTGAGCGTGAGTGTGTGTGAGAGTGTGAGTGTGTGTGTGTGTGTGTGTATACAACTTGCAGGAGCCACTTTTCTGCTTCTATCATTTGGGATCCGAGGACCAAACTCGGGTATCAGGCTCTGTAGCCAGTGTTGTTTACCCACGGAAACACTTCACCAGCCTGGAAAATGGAATTCTAAAACCTGCATTCACACTTGGAGACCAGTAGGCCACATTTACTCTTTTCTTATTTTCTTTCTCTTCACCCTACTGAAGTAACAAGTACTATGCCAGGCAGCATAAAAGGAAAACAAAAGTGTAGCCAATATACAAACTTTGCCAGTCTCTAGTTGAGAAATAACTAACTCAAGAAGCCACAGTGCAGTATCAACAGTGAGGCCAGCTCTTGTGATGGTGAAAAGCAGAGGCCACAGGTTCCTGCCTTCCACCCCATGGACCTGACTCAGGCCACAGGTGCCTGCCTTCCACCCCATGGACCTGACTCAGGCCACAGGTGCCTGCCTTCCACCCCATGGACCTGACTCAGCTGCTGCTTCCCTAGGATGCATTTCCTCGTGTAATGAGTAGAAATAAAGACAAGAACAGAAACCATGAAACACAACAAGGGGAAATAGCTAGTCCAGTGAATAGGTTAGCCAAACACTACAGAAAAACCTAGTAAAAATGATGTTGAGGGCAGAGAGGTGGCTCAGTGGTTAAAAGCACTGGTTGCTCTTCCAGAGGTCCTGAATTCAATTCCCAGAACCCACAAGGCTCAGAACCATCAGTAATGGGACCTGATGCCCTTGTCTGTCCAGCAGCCCTACAGGAGGACAGAGCACTCATATACATAAATAAGTAATCCTTTAAAAAGCTTAAAAAATAAACATAGCAAAAGAGAAGGTAAGTCCGCAAAGATGGACACCGACAGCTTCCTTTATCCCTGAAAGCTGAGAATCAGCTTGGGTTTCCTTCCAGAGTCCCCTACAAACAGCTGGTGGTTTATGAGGGCTCCAGCCTTCCTGCACTTCCTCCTTTGCACACTTGCGCAGTGTTCCTCTTCTTGTGTTTCTTTTTCAGAAATGACAACCATTCTACCATTCAAATACAAAAAGCAAGATCCACCTGGACAAAGGAGGTGGCAAGAGGAAAAGTCACCTGACTAGATTTTGTTGGTTTTTTTTTTTTTCAAGACAGGGTTTGTGTAGTGCTGGCTGCCCTGGCAGTCACTCTGCAGACCAGGCTGGCCTTGAAATCAGAGATCTGCCCGCCTCTACCTCCAGAGTGCTGGGATTAAAGGTGTGGGCCACCCAGCCCACCTGACTAGATTTTTGTGGGGGATGGGTGTGAAGGTCACAGGTCATCCAGTGTCTTCCTTAACAGCTTCTTCACATTATTCTTTTCAATTTTTTAGACTTATTTTACTTGGTGTAAATGAGTATTTTGCCTGCATGAGTGCAGGGATACCAACGTGCCATTGGATGTTGTGGAACTGAGCTATTGATTGTGAGCTGCCACATGGTGCTACAATAGAAACTGGGCCATCAGGCGGGCGGTGGTGGCATAGGCGATTACCCCAGCACTCAGGAGGCAGAGGTGGGTGGATTTCTGAGTTCAGGGCTACACAGGGAAATCCTGTCTTGAAAAGTGAAAGAAAAAGGAAGAAAGAAAGAAGGGAAGAAAGGAAGAAGGAAGGAAGGAAGGAAGGAAGGAAGGAAGGAAGGA